AGCAAACGGCGCACCACTGCCCACGATCGTAGCGATGATTGCGCAAACAAGACATCCCATGCTAAGCCCGTATAAACTCCCTTGCCGCGCCTCGATCCAGGACGGTAGTTGGACGACCTCAGACCTTAGTGTGTATAGGACGATGGTAGGTATAGTAAATGGGATGCAGAAGATCAATCCAAACGCAAGGCAGAGTCCCGCTTTACACATTCTGCGTTGGACGGTATCCCCTATCAGAAAGACTGGCCATCGGTACATGAAGAAAACCAAGGAGAGCGTAAGAAGAAGGATCAGCACCAACCCTACGATAAGCATGTCATAAATATAGGCCGCCGTTATTTTTTGAAACGACTCGTCGAGGGATTGAAACTCGTCGAATTCGTGGCCTAGTAGCTGACTGATCTCCGAAGGAATGGTCTTAGATAACGTCAGGGGCAGATCGGCACACGAGACACGTTCGCCAATGGCGACGCAGAACTGTCGCGTGCCGACAGAGCAGTTCTTGGGAAGCATAGCTTCGACGGAACCTGGGATTGACGTGGCGATGGCACTAGCCGCGCTTTTCACTTGAGTGACAAGACCGCCGGCCGCACTGTGGGCCTGAGTGGCAACGGGGCCAGCCGCACTCTGGATTTGCGTGACCATGCCTGGGATATTTCCAGCCTCGGATTGTAAAGGTCCGACAACACCTAACGGTAGGGGTTCCCGTTTCGTTAGGAGTCCATGAGGTAGGAGGGCAGCGAAGTCAAACTGTGAATAGTAAATGGTTAGCCTCAGCCTGAGAGTGAAGGACCGAAAGGCACCTAGGTATAAAGTAAAGTAATACTTGAAGAGTGATGACGCCCGAATTTATATTGCTCTTATCGCATAATACTCGTAGTACTAGTGCTGAACAACAAATAACGGCAACTGTAATGATACCTGTTATGCAATGCTTCTTAACCTGTGTTCTATCCATTGTAGGCTATTTAGGTAGGATGGAATGGAGGTGGATAAAGTACGGAGGCTTCAGTATCGGGTTATAGGCTTAGTTTATACATCTGAAAGGTTTGTATTAGGTCTGACTAAGTTTATATATTAGGGAAGTGAAATGATCCGTAAAGGGGGACTGCGGTGTTCTTAGACCAGAAACCGACCGTTGGGAAGACCATAGAAAGAACTACTCTGCTTAGGCATGAATCATCGAGACGTCAGCGCTCCCGAGCCAGAATGTAGGCCTAATCCCATCCGGAAACAAGACCTACTTCTCGGTCCAGCGAGACATTCAACATGCGCCGTAACGTGATATCATACTCCTCCTCACAGCTACGGCGTTGCCATCTCGTCCTCCCTGAGCCTCTTAGTTAATGCTTGCTGGATTAGGACCTTTCGTCTATGTTCGTCCTCCCGAAGCTGCTGCGCGGCGCTCATCTTCCACCTTCGCGAGAACTCCGCTCGGGATAATAGCGGATCGACGTCGCAAGCGCGACGATATTGTCGAGCCTTGATCCGACGCATGATCAGAAAGACAACAGTCGCTGTGGGGAGGATCGTCCCGACCATGATGACGGGTATGGTCCAGATGGTGTTCTTTGCACTTTCTGGCAACGAAGAGGTACCAGGAAGATCCGGTATACAACCCATTGCGCAAGTTCAGCCAATTACATAATGGGAGATTATCTGTAGGAGTGGTCGACCGACATGTAGTTATATGGGGGTACATATGCCTGCCTGAGGTTGATCTTCTGTATTATATTATATAGGCGTCAGTCCCAGTTTCATACTCAATTACTATTTACCTAAGTTATAAGAGGACGAAAAGAAAGGCTCGAGTATATCCACGGGCCCAAATGCTGTTCAAATAAAGTGGTACAAAATATGGACCCGAGATATCTGGTATAAAAGCAAGATTGAGGGTAAGGTATGAACGATCTCCTTCCTAAAGTCACCTCAATTCTAACATTATAGAAACCATGCAAGAAGCACCCGCGCCGGATCATATGGCCTGTACCGATACGTCTGATGTAGAGGAATCCTTCCTATCTAGTCGGCACCAGCTCCACGATATTATACGTCTTCTACAAAACGTATATGATACTTTAGGCAAGCATCGGTGTGACGCAAGTAAGTTTGAGGCTGCCTATTGGCATGAGCATCGCAAGGTCCAAGACGTTGTCGATGCCAACAGAGAACTGGTCTATCGGCTAGATCACATTCGAACGCTTCGATTCAACGAGCAGTGGCCAG